CCAAAACATATCCATGTTAGAAAATAAGTTCATCATCACAACATAATTTTGTAAAGAATTTTATTCAAGAAACGATGTAAAACTTAAAAAAAGGGAAAAGCACCCCTTATGATATCAATGGATGATCCATCCATATCATGACGACTTGCCGTATTTTTTTCCGAAGAAAATTGCAATTTAAAAGTTTATTTTTTAAGCTACAAAGTCGTTGCTGAAAATAACAATTTGATAAGATTGGTAGTATAAAGAGGCCTGTTTGTTCTTATGGCATGCTCTGACAATGCATGCAGGAACATTTCATCGTAGTTCGCCGGAGCAGCCCAGTCTGGAAGAGCCGGTTAATTGGCCGGGGACCGGGCCGAGCTGGCTGGGCATCGCGCCGGGATAGGTAGCAATTCTAGATCTGTATTTCTCAACTTCATCATCTACGAGAAACGAGAAAGTTTTCTCGAAATTGGCCGACTGGCCGCCCACAAACTCTTGCACAATTCCCAGGGTTTGATTGCGAGTGTGAAATGACTGTGCATATTCTCGGGAAATAGTGCTCCCGGGAGTTACCTAATGTGTCTAGTGTGAACGGTTGCTGGGGTGTATTGTTGAATAGATCAGCCCTGATAAGGGGTACATATTCAATGTGCTCACTGGGTCCCTTGGAAGGCCAGAAAAGGTTGTCAAGTATTACCCTTTGGTGCAGTGAGAAAATGATCGCTGCCCAAGCAGCAAATTCTCGTAGGCATGATCCTAAGCAGTCATCCCGAAATTTGAATAAGACTGGAAGAAGATACTGGTCCAATAATGATAGATCCTCAGGCAGGGTGTGAGTGGAGCTCTAAAAAAATAGCTGAAAAACAGTTGAACCTGAAAATAGCCGAACATGTGAGCACAAAGAGCGAAGCCCCTATGCCGTGGGGTCTGGGGCCCATGGAAATTTTGAAATGTAGATGCTATGTGGTATTATTTTACAGCCTCCTGGGCCAACTATTGGTCGAAAATGTTTTGCAATTTATGCATGTCTTTAAGTTAACTTTTCCTTCATATTGGCTAAACTGCCTAAATGGCCAACTTGTATATGAAAACTGTGTTAAAATTGAGGTTTGGAGTGTGAGTCTGCCAAAGCCCCGCCCCACCAAACAAAAAAAAACTTCCTATAAATCTAGCTCCATACTTCATGTTTTCTGGCTATTGTAAACCTCACAGGGAAATTCGACCACTCCCTTATGTCAATTCCTTGCTGCGAAGAATGCACATCACATGTCCAGGCTTTGCATTTTTCTGATCGTGTCGCCTAATTTCTGCCTATGAACGTTGTATTCCATCCAAATCCATTTCCAGGGATTTGCAACTTGAGGATCAGTCTTGTCAATGTCGGTATAAAACTCTGAACCGCTTTGGACAAGTATGCATTTGTGTTGCATTGACATCTTGCGGAATTAGTAATGTCAAATGTTGTTGGAAAATACGTACGAAACAACACACTTACGTTCTTACGTAAGCAACATGCAGCGGAATGCAGGATGCAACATGTAATGGAAGCAATGCACACATGAACTTTGCCCCGAATCATGAAGCCCTCTATCAGCAAGGCAACAATTTACTAGTCTTATTTCAAGGCTTTATGTTTGCAACAAGACGTGTGCAAAGTGATCTTTCTGATGTTTAAGGTGAGTTATTGTTGAGATCACGGAGTGTCACTAATTACACAGACACAGGCACAGCCACAGCTGCAAAGAGTCCCAATGCGTTTCATGGCGCATGTGTGAATCTTCATATTTATCTGCAGTCAATCACAGCGCAATGACTGTTTGTTCCCTGGATGCTGTTTACATGTAGTGTACAATACATTGTACACAGGCAGCGTGGCTAGGCTTCGAGCTGAAAAATGCATGCACATTGTACGGCATATGTACAGTAGCCTACACATACCTATGGGCGATTGTGTTCACTCCATGATTTGTAGAGCGGAACGATTGTGTTTTTCGCGTGCATTCAGCGGCGGCTGAAAATAAAATTAAAATAAACTCAATGCTTACGCGCGGGGGGAAAAGTGATGGAAAATCTGGACCACCGGTAGAATAAAGAGCGGAAAACAAAATATGGCACGCTCAACAAAAAAAGCAGAAATCCTCTAGTAAGCGGAGATTTGACACCCCTGCTCAGAGACCCAGGCAAACACATCTCAAACTAGGACAGAAAAACTTGATACTTTGGCTCCATGGCGAATGTGATGATCCAATTTCTCTAGAGTTTTATCTAGACCTTTCGAACATTCATCAGGAAATATTTTTTTCGATACACTTTTCCCGAACAAAGTTTGTCTTTAACTTCAGACAAAATCGTAGTCATGGTAAAAAAGTGGCTGGTGTTATCTGCATTGGCTTTAAAAACATGTCCACACGAGTCATGTCCATGAATTCTGGGTGATTTCTTTTTCTGAACCTTGGGAAAGACTTCCTCCAAGATAACTCAACAAAAACTGGCCACAAAGAACTGTAGATTTGTGTGTGTGTGCAGGATAGGATTGGAAGATTCCCTACAACAGGATATAAGAGAATGTTTCTTACATGAGGGAGGGGGGGGGGGGGAGGGAAGTAAAATTCTTCTCACTACAGGGATTACCAGAGTTAATCATGGAGTTGTCCAACTCCATAAATTCCTCAGCCCAATTGCATAGCGCTACGTAACAATTGGCAGAAAAGTTCTGCTTACCACAGCAGAAAATCATGCTGCTTAAACACTATTTTATGGCATGGATGTGCTAATGGAGATTTGTGTTGTATCATCATTATTTGAAGCATTTTTTTTTCTTCTGGATTCAGTTGTTTTGTTTTGATCATTGTTTACGGAGGATCTTTTTGCCCAAAATCGGCTGTTAAGCAGCGCTTTGAAATTGGGCCAGGTCCGAATCATTGGAGATAGGTGAGAATGATCTGGGAGCAACTGCAGCTTCTAGAAGGGGAGCTGAAACAGCCATGCAAAGGAGATCTGGAAGTTATCTGAATTCAGGAATGGATACTTGAGGACTCCCAGGACAAACTGAGATTTCAGTGAGTAATTTCACAAACATAAATTTCCTTTTTTGTGTGTGTTAATATGTATTTTTTTATGTTTTAAAACACAGATTCGTAATATTGGAGAATAATAATAATATATAGTGCTTATATAGCGCTTTATACCAAAGGTCTCAAAGCGCTTTGCAATTATTACCCCTGTTCATCAGGCCATGAGACCAGTTTCTGCAGCAGCTCAAGATCAGCCCAATATGGTCTCTACCTTCACAGGTACCCATTTATACTCCTGGGTGGAGAGAGGTAATTGTAGTAAAGTGTCTTGCCCAAGAACACAAGCTCCATGTTCCCTGTCCGGTTTCGAACCAACGTACCGCGGCAAGTGAGCCGAACACCGTAACCATTATACCACAGCGCTCCACAGAACTATAATTTTTTTTTCAAAATTGGTGCTGGTGCATGCACCTGGTCACTCAGTCCACCATGTACAGTGATGCAGATCAGCGGTTCAGCTAGAGCACTAGACATTGGACCAACATAGCAACTGGCAGGATGGTACACTTGATGCAATGAATCACAGCCAGGGCTGTGTGATATGTCATGCATATAGTGACGACAAGGCTAAAAATGATGGCAGCACACTTGAACCCTTTTTTTAAATATATTTTTTTTCAAATACATTATTTTGCCAAATGTGGCAATAAAATCGTCGCAGAGCTGACATACTGATGAATAAGCGAAAACCCTGTTTCGAGTAATTCGCGTTTGAAATTGGACATTTTTGTGGGCATCGTATTTTACCATTAATGTTTCGATAATAACCCTTTTAGTGTATATTCGAAATAGAATAGGAAACGTAGTATCCATTAGGCCAAAAAAAAAAAGTCTCCGGTTTCTGGTATGGAGCTTGTCCCAAAAGTGGTGCGGCGACGCGGCTTTTTTTTTTTTTTACCTGTTTTTTTTTTTTTTTGGCTTCAAATGTCGGCTGATGACTGCAACTGGTGCCCGACTAAACGTAGTGCAAATATATGGGAGTCCAGAGAGGCCACATAAAGCTTATTCTCGATCATAACCCCATCTAAAAACACGTTAAAATTGTGCAGCAGCAGGATTCGAGTCAAACCAGTGAGTTTGGCGGTTTTGAGACATCATCTTGTATTGAAAAAAAAACTTTTTCATTTTGCCGACGCGCATGGCTACGGCGACGCGCGCATACCAGAAACCGGAGACTTTTTTTTTTGGGCCTTAGGTCACTTATTTAATCAGAAGTATTGTGCGATATGAATTTATTTGATCGTAAACGTATTCGTCAGTTTGTATTCTTCAAATTAACAAAATCTCCAATAGCCGGTTGATCTTCACACTGTTTGTATGCAATTTGTCAGTTTGTCTGATCGCGCGCACGCGCGCGCCAATCTGACAAAAACCATTTGTTGGTACTTTGACGCACACCTTTCATAAGCTGGTTACCAGCGAAATTCCGTATTCGTCACTAGGTCAAATTATGGATTTGTTTTTGTGACAGGGGGGCTCCGAATCTCAAAATTCAGACAAGAATCAAGAATTTTGGCATAAATACTTAAAGGAGCAACCTTTATAAACCCTAAAAATAACAAAATCTTGAAATCGCCAAAAATGGTGGATTCGCCGGTATGTCAGCTCTGCGACGAATGTTTGATGTCTGCATTTGGCCACAAAAAATATATAGCTAGAATGGGTTACTGTTCAGACAATTATTTTTTGGGTCTTTATCTCCAGGGCAGTCAAGAAAGAAATACATAACTGTTTACATAACACCAGCGAAAATTAACATTGACCTTGTATCTGGGCCTATAATGGAAAGTATTTGGGCCAAAAAGGACATGAACACATATGCGGTGCATGTACATTCATTCTACCTGCATGAACCATGCCCAATGTACAGTAGTAGAAATTGCACAATCTAACTGCAATATAGCCAGTAATTAACAGTGAACTACTGCTGAAAAATCTTACCATAGTTGACAAAGATGGCAGCAATATCTTGAAGTATAGGGCACCACGGCTTGGCATTATGAAGTAAATGTTGGCATGAGTTCATCAGTGACCACATAGTATCAAATATCATCCCAGCAACCAATTCACTATCACAGATGGACACTGAAAAACAATATCATTGTTATTATTTATTTGACCTAAAAATACAAGACAGATTGAAATACTAAAAATACGAAACAAATAACTTCCAAAGGAATAACCTAGCGCACAAAATACAGAAATACTGGCTATGTACAATATAGACGATGACAAGAGAGCAACCCAAGGGAGCGTCGCAGCAACGAAGTTGAAGCAAAACCCAAACTAAATTCCTTAAGGCAAAAACTCAGACAATCATCCAAAAAATGGAACATTTCAGGTATCTTATATGGCTCACACAAGGAAGGATCTCCATAACATCGAGCAAGGGAATCCGATAACAGGATGGAGAAAGAGGCCACTTTGGACCCTTGACGCAGATGGCTATCCAAGTAGGCAATTCTTTTGTCAAGTGTTTTCGTCTTAGCATCAAAAATTTGCTTATGAGATTGCGGATTCTCACGTCTCAGCAAGTCTTTGGCCTCAGAGGACAAGGAAGGGGTAGAAAAGAATCTATCAGTGTCCGCTTTATTGGTGTTGAACATGCCTGCAAACCTGCTCGGTCCACAAGAGAGAGAGTGCTTGTTTTGCAGCTGACAAAGGGACTCATTCATAGAGTCAGCACACATTCTATCAATAGGAAAAGTGGGCTGCGAAGGCTTATATTTACGAGTACCAGAATCTCTGCGATATGAAGGTCGAGTAGATTCGACTGGGGAAGGGGGTGGAAACTGAAGGATCTTACCCACTGCCGTCATCGTAAGATTAGCCCGTTGGACATTGGAGAGACTATCTTCATCCACTGTCTGGCCCGAGGAAAAAGAAGACCTTGAAGGAGATCTAGAATGTGAGTGTCGGCTTCGATGACCAGAATCCGACTGTGAGTAATCACGATCATGACGAGAAGAACGATGTCGGCGCCGATGTCGATCGTCGGAGTCCGAGCGGGACCGCGCATGAGACCGGGAACGGCGCCGTGAATTGCGGCGTTCTCTCCCCGCCCGGCTGGTGTGTTCACTGAAGCGTTGCGGAGAACGGAGTCTTTGTCCTGTGAAAGGTACGCCATGATCTCGCGGAGAATGTGAAGAATTACCCTGATAAGGTGTGTAATGGTGTGAAAATCCTATCGGAAAAGTCTGGGGATAAACCCGCAGGGTCGTAGGCTGGAACACTGAGTGGATACGGAGTGTGAGAATTGTGGTCGAACTGACGAGGATCGTTCGGGAAAAAGGACCACGTGTGAGGCTCCGAATGATGAAGAAAATCTCGCCGAGATTTGCTTGTAAAACTAGGTTGAGAATACGAACCCGTAGTATGGCTGACTGAAGATGATGGTGGTGGTGGTGCCCCAAGCCTCTGTGACCTGGCGGGGCTGGTCGGATTACCGAGGGACCTTTGGGTTTCGAACGCCAAGCCCCGCCGTCCCGCCTGCACATGCGAGTCGACCTGTTGTTCCGAAGCATGCATGTGCTCCTGCAGACTGCCGTAAGAATGCGAGATTTGTCGGAAAGTGGCCGTAATTCTCATTGGAGAATTCTTTGACCCCGGAGAAATTCCAACTGCCGAACCCGGGAGATTGGACCCAGTCGTAGCAGAGGAATTATCACGCTTGGATTGAGTAGAGGGTGACTTTCCAGTAGAAGGGCTTGAGACAGTTTTCTTCTTGTTTTTGGCAGAGTCCGCCATTTTGTAATCACAGCGAGAACAGCTAAAAATTGTACGTCTTTACACTACACGTCGCTGAAAAACTAGAACGAGCTATTACGTTACAGGGTCCTTTGTGGGCGTGGGGCATGCAGTGGGCAATGAGGGTGTGGCTTGGGCGCTATTCTTTTCAGCGAATGTTTGTGCGCATGCGCGCTGATATGCAAATGTAGGTAAACAGAGGTGAGGTATTTTCTGTAATGGAAATCTAATGTTTGTTGACAAAACAATGACGGCACACATTCCTCCCAATTACAGTAAACATATTTTTATCTGAAAGTTATACTCTATTCCCATCAAGAAAATAAATAATTATGTACATGATATACCCCTTAGCTCGAAACATCAGCACTGGTACCTCTGTTGATCTCACTTCATATTAAAAAAACAACAACTCTGATTTATCATGAAGCAAAATGTACCAAAAGTTAAAAAGATTTTGCCCTCAAGGGGAAATTAAAAAAAATACTACCAAGCATGAGTTAAGTTGCATCTAAAATGACTAAACATGAAAGGTAAGTAAATTGAGTAACTCACAAAGTTGTAAAAGCCACAGCATGACTGGATCTGGACATTTCTTCCCTGTGTACATGTCTAATATAAGCCGAGACATCAGCAATTCCTTTAGTTCATCTGGATTGGATAGAAAAAGAAAAATTGAGAAATATTAAGAGAATTATCTTGATTACTTTTTCTAAAAATGTACGAATATACCAACTAACATATAAATCCCTGCCTGTGTAATAATACATTTTGAAATGAAAGGTAGGTAGTGTGTACATTAACAGGAATATACAACATCTGCTTTTGCTGTAATTTTCAGAAATCACTGGATTTGGGGGTTATTATTTTATAACAAATATTGTATCAGTGGCGGCGAAATGGTTTTCAAAGGGGGGAGGAGGGAGGGCACCACCAAAAGGGGCACTTGCTTAGTAAAAGGCATCTTCTGTCGGTGCAACAGCGTATCCAGCATTTTTTTTGGGGGGGGGGGGGGGGAGAGGAACATCTGTGCTGAAATTTCGACACGTTTTTGTCACCGGACACTTTGCCTCCATAAAATCAAATAATGAGGGGTGGGGGGCTGGTACCGTCTTTCAAAATAGGGGGGGGGGGGGCGCTGCTCTTCAAAACCGGCTTTTATGCAAACTACACATAATGTGCCAATTTTCAGGGCGCATTGTAAGGGTTTTGGGGCTTGGTTTTTGTATTCCTCGTTCATATAAGAATTCCCTACACGTTTTTTTGGGAAATGGTTACTTAAAACAATTATCCGACATTTTAGGTCCAGTTTTGTTTTCATCTCGAGGGGGCACGTTTATGCTTGAGGGGGCACATTTATGTCTTGGGTAAATCTGGAGGGGGGGGGGGGTTTAGAGGAAAAACCTCCGTTGGAACCACGGGAGATCAACGCCGGGTGGCTTGGTGATGCCAATGGTCCAGAAACTGATGGCGTGATTGAGTGACAAGTGGTCCCCTTTTGGGTTTTACCCTTGGGGCCACTGGTGGCCTTTGCTGCACCCTTCTTTTACTGTGGGACCCATATGGCCTGGGGAACCGCAGTTGTTCGGGGAGGTTTCTCCCAGTGCCATCATCATGGTGTTCCATATTGTAACCAGGTCGGGTTTCAGTACTTACTTTTACCCAACAGGTTCCTTACTCCAGCATTCATATCATAACTTCTTAACTTCGTGTTTGTGTCATTTTATATGTGAGCAGCCATTGCGATCATGCTTTTTGCCTAGCGCCCTCTCGCGGCCAACTAAACTTTTTTTTACAGTGCGCGCCGCCTAGAATTTTGCTCAACTATGCAATAGCATGCGAGTTTAACATTCCACGCGCTTTGTTTAAGAGAAATAGCTGACATTCCGGGCGTTTCGTTATAATTTTCTTGTAAGGCTAGCTGCGAAATAACTTTGATTTCGATCCAACACCTTGTTGCGTTCAAACCATCATTTTGCGAGCACTTACACTCTCCACTTATATCTACAAAGTTTGAGAGAGGCTCCCTATAGCAGTAAAATATTTTCATCTATTTTCACTGCTGAACTTTGATTTTGACATCGGACACGGAGAAGGCATGAACGTAGACCATCCCAAGTGGTGGTAAATCCCTTGTCTGACATTTCACTTTTTATGCCTAAAACCTTTTTATGCCTAAAACCTTTTTATGCCTGAATCTTTTTATGCCATCATTTATGCAACATTCTGGTCTTTTGTATGCTTTGTTTATTGCCAGAAATTAAGGCCGTCAAAACGGACACGGCCGGAAATTTGCCTTGCGATCACGACTGATTAATAACTTTTGAAATAAATCTGATTTGCAAGTATTTTTGGGAATCAGTTTTTTCCCTAATGATTCTCTATTTAATTCCTACATGAGTGGCATGGCGAAAAGGATTTTCTGTTGACTATATTTTATACTTTGAACATTTCGTGTAAACACCGTCGATTTATTTAAACACAATTTCCTACTATTTTAATATTTTTTCGGCAATTCCGGAAAACAATGTTATCAGGTACTTTATTTTTGTGAATCTCCATTTTTCCTTTTGAAACAAAAACAAATTGGTAACTTCTGAGCAACACGAGTATGCAAACTTTAACTTAGATTTTAGTGTTGCTATAATATTTATGTTCACATTTATCATTTGAAATAGACTTTCCCATTTTCCCCAAACTATCGGTTTTCTTTAAAGTGCTATGATCATTGGGGTATTCGTTATTAGGGCACGGTATTATATTCTTATTTCATATTATAACATAACTTGGTGAATAATTCATTTCTATTTTCGGATTTAAAATTACACTACATGTATATAAAATATTCATATTCTTGCATAATTGCCATTTAAATAATTCTTCTGTTTGGGCAACAGTCATTTTATGCCACAGTTTGTCCCTTTACTGATGCATGTATAAAAAAGTGTTTTGATTTACAAATAAGGAAACCAGTTTTTCCCAAATTTCTTTGAATTAAATATCGTTAATAATGTATTTGGATCTGGAAGTTATTCCCATAATTCATTAGTCATTTATTGTTTTTATGCATTTCAGATACTATCCTTTGAGCGACTTCATTAGCCTATTTCCCTTTTTTGACTGTCGTTTTTATACACCTTACAAAGTCGTTTGATATACCCAAAGTTCATATATATACTGTAATTCTTTTGTAAATACTAATTTGTATATATATTGTCTCATATTTGTACTATAAATAAAACATTTCATATTATTGAGACAACAGAAAACTTCGCTCTACCCAAATCATTTTTTTAGTGGAACCACTCGGTTGTAAGGAGAGTGCCACATTTTAAAACTAATAAATCCCACTCTCCCCGGTTACACATATCATAGGGCGTATGTCTACGACGGTCAAACCATGGAACACGGGATGCCTGAAACAGACTACCGGTACGTTGTTGGCTCTGCGTGGAACTCACTGCTATCTCATTTCGTACTATGGCACAACCAAGATAGTTGAGAACAGCCGAGGGGGAAGGGAACAACTGCTGGCTGATATACCCAACGTTCTCTTTACACACGAGGCAAGACGGCCGAGGGAGGGAATAACCAGTGGCCGATATACCCCCAAATGTCTTGCCGCTATCTCGTTTATCGCCACACTACCCAGATAGCCTAGGATAGTCTAGGAATGGCAATCCTAAGAACAACCCATGTAGCTGCGCATACAGTGGCGTAGCCACCGGGGGGGCGTGGGGGGCGACCGCCCCCCCCATGAAACCTTGTCACCCCCCCCCCCCCACTGAGATTTTGAGTTTCTAAAAAAATTATCATTGATCTACATGACGCCATGGGCGTCAACCCTGGGGGGGGGGGGGACAGGGGAAATGTCCCCCCCCCACACACTTTTTGAAGGGTGGGGGACACAATATCAAATGTCCCCCCCCCCAGATCTTTGAACTCGTGTCTCATTTACAGGGCCCTATTATGTACTACAATGTATCTTTTGCTCAGAAAATATTGGTTAAAGTGGTCAGAAATTGCCTCAGATAGCACCACAGAGCATTTAGAATCCAAAATTTTTCGGGGCCCTTAAGCGGGCCCCGAACCCCACGCCTAAAGATCAGAATTCTGGTAGCTGATTCAATGACTCCAACCTCGAAAACAAAGTTAAAAAAATTTTCTTGTGCCTTTATCTGAGAAAACCTTGAAAATTATGTTTAAATTATTATCTTTTGTGCTATGATAATTATTGGTTAAAGTGGTAAGAAATTGCCTCAGATCACACCACAGAGCATCGAGAATCCATTTTTTTTTCGGGGCCCTTAAGCGGGCCCCGAACCCCACGCCTATAGCTCAGAATACCGATAGCTGATTCAATGACTCCAACCTCGAAAATGATGTTCAAATAATTATCCTTTGCTAAGAAAATATTAGTTAAAGCATGGAGGAAAGTGGTAAGAAATTGCTTCAGATCACACCACAGAACATCTAGAATCAATTTTTTTTCAAGGCCCTTAAGCGGGCCCCGAACCCCACGCCGTAAGGGCTTCGCGCTTCGCGCTCGCATCAGTTCTGATCAAGGTATGTCCGCCCCCCCCCCCACTTTTGAGAAGCGATTGACGCCCCTGCATAATGCCCCCCCCCCCAGCGCCCCCCCACTGAAAAATTTCTGGTTACGCCACTGTGCGCATACATGTACTAAGTCTCAAGTTGATATAGCAAGTTTTTCTTGAGTAATACATGTATATGTTGAGAACACTTTTTCTGTTGTTTTAATCATAATAACCCGACCTTTGGCCTAAGGGATCCATTTTTTGCTAGCAGAAAATTGAAAATTGCGATTACAACTAAACCAAATTTCCGAATATATACCAGCAGACAAAAATGGAATGAACCTTTGATACCCAACAAAATTTGAATCATTGGCATGTTTTCTGTGTTCCGGAAGTAGGGTGTAGAATGGATCATAACTTCACGTATAAGTGATGCTGCTTTGTGCGTCTGTGGGCTGATCAATTGATTGAGTATGTATATTAAGGTTCAGTGATACTATGGCGTTCATTGATGAACTTCTTCAATGCAATAGATGTGTTTCAAGAGCCAACAAAAGTCGGAATGACATAAAAGCTATACTTCTTTTTAGAAGCCGACGCTAAGGGCAGAACCAGAACATAATTGGGTTTTTTTGGGGTGGGGGGGAAGGGGGGGAAGGGGGGGGGGGGCCAAAGACAAAATTTGGTCAAAAAAATGGGGCGTAGGGTTTGGGGCTGTAAGGCCAAATAAAAAAAAAACATGTTTAGCATCCTGCCTTTTTGAAAAAAGGAAGGAAAAGGCCTTTTTTCCCCCCTCCAAAATGGCCGCCTGGCCAGGCTATTTTTCAAGATAGCCGCCAGCTTTTTTGTAAATGGCCGCCACTTGGACTCAGGAATGACATACCAGCTTTATATGGGCTAGATGAAACAGACAAAGAGGCCAGAATGATGTCACTGTTTAAAATTAATCTTTTTTGAAAAAAAAGGAGGCGGACTCTAAAAAGGGCGGGACGCTTAACCTTGATTTTCTACTGGAACACACACAAAAAAAAAATTGGTTTAATGGTATCAAACGTTCATTTTTCTGCTAGTAAAAATTCGGAAATTTGCTTTGGTCGTAAACGCAATTTCCCA